CTCTTATACACATCTAGATGTGTATAAGAGACAGCCCCCGCCCCACCCCCTTAGTTATCCAAGCCCTATCATCCAACTAGCCTATCTCCTTTCAAAACAGGTTTGTATCAATCTACCTTTAAAAACGATTAGTCCCTTTTGGAACCTTTTTTTTTTTTTTTAAATTATTATTGGGAATTCTTCCCTTCTATATTCTTCTCTCAACTTTTGTTTTGCCTTTCACTACCTACCTACTCCGAAGGCTATCCATAGGGGACCCCTGCAAGCATAGCTTCCTCTCACTGTGAAGGGGATATTGCATGTTATTGCATGTTGCCCCTTGCCTCCAGCAACACCCCCCGACCGACCTCCTCCACTCCTACCACCTCTACCACCACATCCACCAACCCTTCCTCTTCAACCCTTCCCCCCCTCATCATCCACCACCGTTTCGTTCCCCCCACCTCCTCCCTTATCCGATGCATCCAACACACCGCCTCATTCCTCGCCCATCCACATCACCCGTCTTCCCCCCCCTCACTCTCATACCCTTCCCCAACCCATCATGACGACCTCCACCATCCCCACCATCCGTCCCACCTAGTCCCAAGTCACCTTCGGGGTTTACCCCGCAATGCCACAACTCCCCCCCAACTACTTCCTTGAGGACAACAACCAACTCGACTACACCTGCTACGACACCGCCCCCGATAACCTCAGCTTCAACACCCTCGCCCGGATCGTTCCCCACGACGGGGAAATCCCGCATTCCTTCCGATCCGTCGACATCATGTCCTTCTCCGGCCTCCCCCACGAGGACGTTTTCCTCTTCCTAACCCAACTCCAGAACTCTTTTCACCTCCACCACATGCCCCTTGCCCACTGGCTCCCCATTGGCACCTCCCGCCTCCTCGGCAATGGCGCCAAATGGTGGATGGTTGACGTCAGCAATCGCCGAGCCTCCGAAGGACCACGTCACTCCTTCCTCCAATGGGCCAACCTTCTCACTGCCACCTTCCGTAGAAAACCATTGATGACTACCTTGAACAATTCTGCCACCTCCACGGACCGCTTCGTCCGATACGTCCGCTCCCTCCGCCACCACCTCCCCACCACCGTCATTCCCCGACTTTGCGATCATCTCCCGCATCAAGCGAGTATGCCACAAAGACCTGGCAACCACCCTCGCCCACGAACCCCACACGCATGCTTCACCACGATCGACTCCTCCACCCCCACCACCAACCCGCGCCCGCCCCCTCCCGCGCCCGCCTTTTCCACCACATCACCCCTGAAGACACCACCTCCATCACTTCCTCGGACGAGTTCACCACACCTGACCCCGATGCATCTTCCGATTCACTCGACTCTTCATCCCTCACTTCCGAGGAACTCTATGTCGTCCAATTCATGAGGATGGAGCGCAGAGATCACAACTCTCAACCACCCTCATCTACCCCACCCTCGCGCATCAAGAAACTCACCCCCGAGGAGCGCACCTAATAGAAATTCCCATATATGTTTAGTAAATTACGAAGATGGAGAAAAAAGGTCAATATATATGAACATAGAAGTGATTGCACAGCTTGCTACTCTTGCTTTAATTATAGTATTTGGTCCTTTAGTGATTGGTCTTTTAGCAGCGCGTAAAGGAAACCTTTAAACGAGAATCTTCAAAAAGAAACTCAAGCAAACGGGGGTTGCTTCCGTTGTCGCCAATTGAGGCACCAACGAACCAACTACTCCAACGCCGCACAATTCACCCGCCAATCCGCCTCCACTCGACCCGCAACCTCCGCATCACTGCCCTCGGCAAGCGCGGGTCCCCAAGACATCGATCTGGCATCGACAATTCGTCTGCCTCCCCCCCCTCCGGTGACGCCCCCTCCACCGGACGACTCCCAGGCATCACAAACGCCTCCCACTGCCCCATGCTCCTCTACCCTTCTTCCAAACCCATCCACTGTCACCTTCTCCGATGTTGTTGAGGAACAAGCTCGACACGATCTGCTCGTCCGCTTAGGCAATGAACAACATTGCCTCGACACCATCATCTCCACCGCCAACTCATCTCGTTTCCACCGCAAATTCATCGCTGCCACCCTTGGTGCCTAAGTTTCGGGCCCTCCTCGACACTACAGCCACCGGTAACTTCATCATCGACGCATGTGTCCGCAAAGCCGGTCTTACCTCTACCGGCTACGATTTGCCTAGGCGACAAAGACACCGCCGTAGTAGTAGACCGTATGGTTCCCGAGACCACCATGACCGTCGGAACCCTCCGCAGTCAGGTCTCGTTCGATGTCATGCACTTGATGTGYGACATCGTCTTAGGAACCCCGTGGCTAGACCGCTACATGCCATACGCATTCCAACCCAACTTCCTTCGCCTCACCAACCCCATTACATTTCAGTAAGGTGAAGACCCTTCTCCAACTTCGTTCGCCAACTACCATCACCCGTTCATTTGCAACTTTTTCGAAATCTCTTACCCCCTCCACGAACTCACATGCAAGGACGAACCCTTCACTTGGAACGATCGCCACCAGCACGCCTTCGATCTACTCAAACAAACCATCACCACGGCCCCGTCCTCAAGATCGTTGACCCCACCCGCCACTTCTATGTCACCACTGACGCCTTCGACTTCGCCATTGCAATCCTACTGTCCCAACATTTCCCTCGTGACACCGCCGACACCCCCCCACTCACCATGAGCCTCCACCCGTCGAATACCCCATCGCCTTCGCTAGCAAGAAGCTTCCCCCTGCGGAGATGAATTATCCCTCCAACGAGAAGGAACTTCTCGCCTTGATCCACGTCCTCAAAGTCTAGCGCTCGTACCTCGACAGGCAATACTTCACCATCCGCACTAACAACACCATCGTCTCCTCCATCCTTTCCAAGAAAGACATCACGCCACGCCAAGCCCGATGGTTAGACTTCCTCGCCCAGTTCACATTCACTATTTGCCATACCCCCAACAAAAGCAACCGCGTTGCTGATGCCCTCTCCTGTCGACCCGACCACAAACCCCCTGAAAAAGTCTACGCCGCCATGACTCGTATCCAGCTCCCCCCATCACTTCATCATCGATACACCCAAGGCTCTCTCTCCTGCTCAAACTTCGCCACCATTTACAACAAGCTCCGCGATCTTGACCCACCTCTCCCTCCACAACAACCTCCTCTACATCGATACCAAAGGCTCTAGGCCGAGCACCACGACGCCAAGACCGCAGGACATCTCAATTTCCAGAAAACCTTCGACACCATCTCCCGCTACTTCTCCTGGCCTTCCCTACTCGCCGACATAAAGGCATACATTCGCTCAAGCCCCACGTGTCAACCCGTTAATCCCTCGACCCACGCCAAACCCGACAAGCTCCAATCATTGCCCATCCCTACGCACCGTTGGCAGTCCATCCATGGACTTCGTGTGCGGTCTTTCCAAGACCGACCACGGGCATGATTGCATCTACGTCATTGTCTGCCGCTTGATCAAATGTGCCCACTTTATCCCTTGCACAACCTCGCACAGTGCCAAAGACGTCGCCACACTCTTTTTCGACCACGTTGCTCGCCATCACGGCCTCCCCTAGAACATCATTAGTGATCGTGATCCTCGCTTTCTCTCACAATTATGGAAACACCTCTTCACGGCCTACTGAACCACGCTCAAGTATAGCACTGCATTCCATCCATAGACCGATGGACAAACAGAGAAGATGAACGATACTCGTCCTCACCAACACGATTGGGATCAGTTGCTCACAACCGTCGAGATTGCCTACAACACCGTCGCCTGCCCTTCCACCGACATGTCTCCATTCTACCTCGACCTTGGCTACCACCGTCACTTGCCCTCTGACTTCTTGCTTCCTTCGCAACTTAACCCATCCACCCCCTGCCCCTCTCTCAATGAATGGGTAGCAACAATGAACACACTCCTGGGAGAAGCCTCCGAAGCCATTGAACGAACCCAAGAGCAACAAGCCAACAAGACTAACAAATACAGATGCAACGTGTCATTCAAAGTAGGGGGCAAAGTCTGGCTCTCCGCCAAACGCTTTGAACCCCAACACGGCTTGTCCAAGAAACTCTCCAACAAATGGCTCGGTCCCTTCCCCATCATTGAACAAACCTCCCCCGTCAACTACAAACTCCAACTTCCCCCGACATGAGTCGTGTCCACCCAGTCTTCCATGTCAGTACCTAGAAGAATACCATGAATCCCCACCCCAGTTCGTCGACCGCACATATCCTAGACCTCCACCAATCATGCTAGCCCTGAATTCGTTATCCAAACCATCATCGGCCGACGAACCACTCAGGTATCTAATCATCCGAAACCAATCACTGAATACGAAGTCAAACGGACCGGATACCTTGACGAAGAATCTACATGGGAACCTCTCTCTAATCTTAAGAACGCCATGAAACTTGTCCACGCCTATGATCGTGCTAATATATGTCCTACATACCTATATAACGATGGCATCCGCTAAACCCTCGCAACCCTGCGCTACACACACCCTTGAACCCAGCCACCCTCCCCTTGACCCTGATTCCTGATGTCTGATCTACCCCTACCCTCGCCTAGCCTTGTCCCATCTTTCCTCTCCAATACCTTCTCTCTTGTCCAATGCTTGTGGACCTGCATGACGCCGGCGATGAATGATCTAACAGCAAGCGCACGAGGAAGATGGCCTGTTGCCTCACTGTTCATGGAGATTATGCAGCTGGTTTGGCCACCATGTTCTTTCATCGGCCGGCATCCCTACTCGCAGACTTACTGGAGAAGCAACTTGCAACATGGATACTTGCATCTGTCTGCAACTTACCTGCTTCCAAATCAGACCTCATTGCAATTCATGTACCGGACGCACCCTAGCACTTGGACTTTGGATATGTGGACTACTGCTACGCTTCTTGGACTTCTACCCGTTGCAGCCACCGAAGACCGCTTCCACCACCTACTCCAAAACCTGATCAAGACCGCTGCTTCAAGACACTTGGACACTTTGTTCCCACATAAGATGTTGCTTCTTCGAACACAACCAGCCCTTGCATCCTGAACAAACATCTTCATTTTTTTTTTTTTTTTCTTCCAGACTTTGACAACCCTGTAAAACATCATTAGCAATACCCTGTTTTCCTGAACACCGTTTCCCTTACCAACTAGAACATCAATAGAAGTTCCCCCGTTCCTTGAACTTTGTTCCCCCTTAACCTATAGCAAACCATGCAATCCCCTTAGTTCATCAATAGGACTACCCTGCTCCCTGTCGTCCCTTTAGTTCATTTGTAGGACTACCCTCTTCCCTGCACCCCGCCCTAGTTCATCAGTAGGACAACCCTGTTCACCGGTACCAAACCATGTTCCCTCTTACTCCTGCAGCCCATGCCACCCACATTATACCCCTCTTCCCTTTCGACTTGTTAACTAATGATCGGCCCCGTCCCGTCCTTCACAGATTTCAGCATTGATTCATGAGTTTTGGCAACCGGGACTTTGCCTTCTAGAGGGAGGGGATAGTGTTACGGACTACGCCAGGGCTCGATCCCTGGTCCGCGAGACGCTACCCGCAGTTCACAACACACATTTTCTTTTCTTTGTTTTCTTATTTTTATTTTTCTCTTTGTTTTATTTTTCTGATTTCGAGCACTTGGCGCCATCCGGCATTCTAGCGCCCATTTTCAAACTTTCGATTTTCAGTTCAGCCCTGGGCAAATTGCATTTCTCCCCATCGGCCTGAACTTGAGTCCGATACTTAGATCGGACCCAAGCCCAGTAGGGGCATTCACTTTACGGCCTCAGTACTTGTGCTTCGGTGTGACTTGCCTGGACATTGTGTTCGGAAATCGAAAACTTCGACTTTGTGACTTTGCCACTTCGTGTTTGCGTCCGTCGAGTCGTGTCGAGTCTGCGTCGAGTTAGAGTGCGTGTGTGTGCTCTCACTCTCCCTCTCTCTCCCAACCTCGTTCCCTTGCCTCTACCTCAGCCCCGCCACATCGCCCGTGAGCGCGTGACCGTTGGCTAGCGTTAGCGCAGCAGCGCTTGCACATCACGCGGCCAGTGCCCGAATGTTGAATGCGTGTGCAAGCCCTTTCCTAAATGAAAGTGGCATGTCTGCCTTGCGTGCAGCCTGGCTGCGCTGGGCCCCTTCCCA